GGCGGGAAACCTGCCTCCTGTCAGGGAAAAACCGCCTTTAAAATAAATTGTAAACCTTTTCCGTGTGAAGGCAGGGGGTGTGGGCGCGGGTTAAGGGCGCTGCGGGAGCCCCCGTTTTCGGTGTGGTTCTCCGTGCCTATCTTGGCGTTGTGTTGTCGCTGTAACCTAGCAACAGCTTGGCGGGCTGCAAGCTGGGCTTGGGCTGCGCAGCCAGCGTAAACGAGGGGGGGAAAAAAAGTGATTTTCTCCGAATGTTGGCGTCAAGAACAAGGTGCTTGAACTTGCCAGCAGGTGTCTGCAGGCTTTTTTTAGCCTGAGTTTGCGTGATAGGAATGAAAGGTGTAGCTGGTGTTATTTCAGTGAAGGTCACAGGGTTGGGGTTTGCTTTTGTTTAGGTTTTTTTGTTTGTTGTTTTTTGTGCTTTGTACTATCAATTTTTGGTGGCTTACGAGGTGATTTCCAGTCATCCCAAGAGGAGGCTGGAGTGATAAATTCCTATCCAGCTCGAGGCAAGCTGACCTCATGAGTCCAGGAAATGTGTTTGTGGTCAATGCTCATGTACTGCACTGATAGCTGAAGGCAACACCTTGAGCTGCAATAGTGTCAGCTTACCTGTTGTCCCCCAGAGTATGCAGGAGAAATAGCTTGCAGCTTTGTAGAGCTATAAATAAGTGACAAAACCTGGAATTAATCAATTTAAGTTAATGTCTTTATAGAATTAGGATCTATAAGAACAGAAATATGGTGGAGCTGTTCACTGTGGTAGGCAAATCGTAGCAAGAGTCAGTGAAATGTTAAACTGCAACAGACTTCTCATTTAAACAGAAGGCTGATGGATGAATAGATAGTATGCCATGTATGCTGCTTTATCTCTTTTCTTATACCTGGTATGTAATATGCCTAGCAGTCTGATATGCTTGAGAGAGAGAGAAGTAAGATTTTTTTTTTTTCCTTTTTTTTTCTTTTTTAATTCAAGAGGGGAAGAAATTCTGTTGGGCATAAGTCACTTTCTCGATAAAACTTTCCAAGTCCTATTTTCCTCAGCTGTTAAGTTGTGAGATCAAACTTTCAGTAATCATGCAAGCAACTGAAAAATATCTACTATTGACTAAAAGAACATAATGTTAATAATATCTGATATATGTAATTAGAGACTGACATAAAGGATAATATCAGTTACAGTGTCCATAGGAAGAACGGGTCAGTGAAAGGCAGATGGTGGCCTTCTGTATGCTGGAAAGATCGTGAACGCTAGCTAAGTCAAAAACCCATTCTTGTCTTGTGCAGACTTTCTGAAATGCAAGTTGTACAATGCAAGTAATACACGAAATGTAGGAAGCTGCTGCTGTAGGTGTTTTAATTTAGATGTAATGCACAGCAGTTAAACATAGGCTTTTCTTCTGTATTTGTTATGTAAATTATATAAGAAGGGAAATATTCATTATGAATATTTTTACTTATGAAGTGGAAGTTGACAATGCCTATAAACAAGGCAAGGTTGTAAGTAAACAGCCGTTCTGATTGGGGGTGCTAGTTGATAGGACTACAGTCCTAATAAACCCCCAGCTTTTTTGAGAACATGTAGAAGAAAATTTGAAAAATGAGTTCATAGAGAGGAGGGGGAGAAAACAACCCACTAGATGACTAAAAGGTGCATCTGTAGTTGGATAAAGCTACTCTGAGAGGAGAAATCCATCTTCCTTCCATGGAAGAGTAAAGGCAACAACAAGAAATGAGGAACTTTAGTAAGCTTTTTTTTTTTTTTCTCAAATCATGTTGAAGCTGTCCTTTGAGCATTTTCTAATCACATTCTAGCTGAAGTGGGTGAGATGCCTTCAATAGTTAAAAGCATCTCTGCGCTAACCCAGCTAATATTTGAAGTTGTCCATATATGAAGTAGAAAAATACCCAGTTGAATAATGGCATAATTAATCCCTTTAGCCTTGGAGTCTGGATATGGACTCTTTGACAAACATGATGAGGTGTATAGACCTTTTAATGTCTCCCCTTTTTGGTACTAGTGCTTCTGTAGAAACCCTTGATCCATTAAGTATAGTTCTTATCTCCTGTCCCATTCCTTCCTCTCCCGGTTTCAGCTGATAATGCAAAGTAGGGCTTTTTCCTCCATTTTTCCTTTCCTAAAGCAAGGGTTCTATTGTGTAACAAAAACAGCTAATGCTGCCTTTAATTTAATGTTGTCCTGCCGTGTCAGTCCTGTGCTCCTTCTGACTCCAAGTAAGTCTAAACGCACAGGGCAAGCAGAGAGTTTGAGGCAGAAATTATGCCTTGCTGTAATTGGAATTCCAGGGGCAGTAGCCCTGTGGGCTTCCAAACCCAGGTACCTGGTGTCCTGCTCAGCCTAACTGGGCAGTGAGCTAACTAAACCAGATTTGAACATCCTCTACAAACAGAGCTTAACTTGGGCTGCTTTATACGCTGACGTATGTCTCTTGGCTTTAGGTAAAAAAAAGATGTATGTAGAGCTAAGCTTCTGAACTATACAAATTGAACAATCTTTTAAGAGTACAAGTCTCTCCTAGCAACATTAGCTGCAGCTTGGTTGATGTTTTTATTCATACTCTTCCATAAACAAAACCAAGGTAATACTGAATTTACTGCATCAACTATGTTTAACAGAACACTTCATTATATGTCCTTCCTCTAGAATCCACTGTAATGCCCTTCCAGGATCAGTAGAAGCACAGCAAATAGATTTATCTAAAAGAAGCCAATGTTAAATTGTCTGTTTAAAGTTAGCAGGAAGCTGATGGGAATATCCTTAAATCAAAACTGATACAAAACAGAAATGTGTCCAAAACTTCTGCTCTATGTAGTGCCACCCTTGGATCTCAAACCTTTTTGTTTCCTGGTGATCAGTTCTAACTGTCTAGAGCAATGCAAATAAGTTGTATTAAGACAGTAGCAACTTGGATCTTTTCTTATACCCACAAATGTTTTTTTAAAAAGTAGTTGTAACTTCTAAGGTCAAGTTATCTAAAAATCATTAGCAGGATTTTTTTTCTCATTTTTTCTTAATGCTGGGTAAAAGAGTAGAAGTTTATTTGAAAACCTGTAAACTGTAGGGTGTTTTCCAGTGATGTTGTGGTTTTTTTGCTTTTGTGCAGTCTTCAGTATTTTGTTTTCTCCCACAGTACTTCTAGGCTGCAGAACCAGCCTCAAAGGCACTATGGAATTACCTCTCCGATTAGCTTGGCTCCTCCTAAGGATGTAGATTGCATTCATACTCAGAAGCTAGTTGAAGCAATGAAGCCAT